CAATGCTGAAAACATTACACTTCCTCAGCCCCACTGTACTCCCTCGATGGCCAACTGCCTGATTCCATCAAGACGAGGACAGAGGATGATCATCTGACACATGCACCCGGGAAGCTGAATCTGTGGTTTGTTTCTATATTTGTTTTATATTTTGTTTGTTGTTTAATGCCGCACTTAGCATTATTCCAGCATTATGACAGCGATCTGTAAATAATCGAGTCTGGACCAGACAATCCAGTGATTGAGATCATGAGCATTGACCCACGCAATTGGGATACGATGACATGCATCAACCAAGTCAGCGAATCTGACCACCCGATCCCGTTAGTGGCCTCTTTCGACAAGCATAGTCACCTTTTACAGCAAGCATGGGTTGCTGTAAACCTATTCTAATCTTGATCTTCATGGGTCCCATATTTGTCCAGGTATGAACAAAAAGGGCACTAATTAACATTACAATGTTAAGGAACAGCTACAACATTCTTGCGTTCAAAATTCACATTCTAAACAATATTCTTACTATGAGTTTGGTTGATCACTACTTTAAATAGTAAATCAGTTGTATAAGGGAGTGTCAGTCAAATGTATGGGGCAATCCCACAGTGATCCAGGTTTTAGATGTTTACTGCTATGGTGAAACCAGCTTTCAGTTCACTCTACATAAGCAGCCCTCATCCACAACCACCATCCATCTCCCGCTGTGAAACCTCACATGTCCATTTTGTTTTGTTTGTTTGTTGCTGAATGCCGTACACAGTAATATTCTAGCTGTATGGCAGCCTATAAATATGAGTCTGGTCCAGAGTGAGTGAGTGAGTGAGTGAGTTGGGTTTAATGCCGATTTTAACAGTATTCCAGTTATATCACGGCGTGTCAGCTTAATGGGGGAGGAAAGCCCGAAGTGATGCAGGTCCCAGACATTTACCACTTCGGTGAAACCCACGAGCACGGGTATGGTGCTGACAAACCTAGAAACATAATCTGGGCAAACCGGGATTCAAACCAACAATCATAGGTTTCTGGCGTGCCCAAGGGACGCAACTCTGCACAGCAAATCGCGGCACCTTAGATGACTGGGCCACCCGAGCCCCAGAGTCTGGTCCAGACAATCCAGTGACTGATACTTTATGCCATGGTCCATGCTTCCAACCAAGTCATCAAGCCGGACCACCGGATCCTTTGGTCACTTCTTACAACAATGATATTGCTGGGGACCACTTCTAATCCTGAATCCCCAAAGCTAGGACCATTTCACGAACTGCCACCTGAAAGTGCCATCAACAACTGCCTGGCAATCTCTCAGCCTTCAGCTTCAGTTGGGCAGTGAGGAAGATAAGACCTTTGAACAATCATTACCAGTAATACCTTCATTGTTGAGTTATCCCAATGTAATGACAGCGTGCATGATTCGCAGCCGACACCACATGCTCAGCAACCACCCCGAAGCCTGTTGCCGTGCAGAGAGCACTAACAGTGACACAAACACCAGTAAATCTCAACATGGGTCAAACAAAGTTCATGGTGAAGCCAAGAACAAAATCCTTTTTCTATTCAACACAAGTGTGTATTCTGTCTGTCATGGATGCAAATTAACCTAAAACAATTATTTGCCCGAATAGTGATAACATAAAAGGACACCCTCCAGTCTGACTGAAATGATATTAGCCTTCGGGATACCTTCAACATTAGACACAATTACCCAGGCTAGTGGGTAGTGCATCCCTGATAATGATCTCATTGAAAGTCTAGTGTTGCAACTATCTAGTCTGTGTAACTTATGTATCATCTCATGTCTAGCCTTGTGCAACTACTTATCAGCCTTCCAAATTCACTTTAGTCCTCTAGCCAAAGGCTACTAAATTGTGCTGAGGTTGGTTGGTTGGTTTGTTGCCTAACGCAGCAGTCAGCAATATTCCAGCTATATGACGGCGGTCTGTAAATAGTCGAGTCTGGACCAGACAATCAAGTGATTAATATCATGAGCATCGATCCACACAATTGGGATTGATGACATGCATCAACCAGTCAGTGAGCCTGACCACGCGATCCTGTTAGTTGCCTCTTACGACAAGCATAGTCGCCTTTAACGGCAAGCATGGGTTGCTGAAGACCTATTCTACCCCGGATCTTCACGGGTCTGTGCTGAGGACAAATAGAAACCAATGATAGTAGTCCTCCTTGACTAGTAGCATATAAGGCCTATATTTCATAATGCTTCAATTTGCTATAAATTGGGGGTGAATAAAACTGATAGAAAAAGTCAACATGGTAAACATTTTTGTCTTGTTCATGTAGAACTAGCTACAAACTCAGTGAGGTTTAGTGAAATAAGGTTGACACATGTTCAGGAAAACATATTTCTAAAGATGCTTTATGACATCATTAGAGCCTTTTCATATCAATTCTTAGCAATTCTGATCCAAGGTCAGACATGTCTCCACATGACCAACTCCATAAGCTGGTTGCCAAGGTAATGATGTCATCTATGGGATGACTCTACCCTCTGCGACCTGTGTAACATTACTAACAATAGGTGTATCCTCACAACATCTCACACAACTTACAAAGCCTTAAAATAACTTTCTAAACAGCTGCTTTCAACAACCAGTTTCATGCTCCTGCAATTTAAGCACTGAGGTTATGCCCAACACAACATCAAGAAGAAGTCATGTGAAAATCAGTACCCATGTAGCCGCTTGTATTACTCCAAACATGTTGAGGTGATCGATAAGGTTTTGAAGATCAAGGAAGTTGATTTCAGTGACGATATATATCATGCATACACATGCAAGTCATAATTACCCTACTGGGGCGTAAAAAATGGAGCAACATATCAAAGCAATTCATCAAACCCATTAGTCAACAATTTTAACTACTGTATAACGGGGCTGGTAGATTCAGCCTCAACAAATTCAAGGCTTTTTTAAGGCATTTTTAGTCAAATACAACGCAAATAAATAACACAAACAAGATGCAAACAGTCAGTGCCGTGACATAATATAAAGGGAAGTAACTCATCCTGGATCGCAATTACATTCATTTAAATGGTAGGACACTCGAACTTCCAGTCATAATGCAAATGAAGTTTAAATTACTCGTTATCATGAAGCATTACTGCATACATTTCGTATGCAAATAATAAAAAGAATTTGCTGTGTAGTTAGGGTTAAGACTTTCAAGGCAAATGCCAATTTAAGGCTATTCGAGACTCTAAATCAGTGTAATACATCACCATCGTTGTTCTGTGATCATGTCTATGTGTGACAACTCTTTTTAACTCCCTTATTTCCTCAAATGTCATTTGGAAGCTGTAGCATCAGTGAAGACAGGGTTGAGTCTAAAACTTCTATCAATGTGACACTTCAGAACAAGTACCAAGCAAGGTGTCACTCTTCACAAAAATACAATTTTTTTCAGGATCCGAGTGGAAATGTTGTCCATGTTATTTGCAACAGTGTCTTGTGCTTTCTAGCGATGGAACAAGGCAAGATCCACACAATACACATTCTGTACCCCAAAATTCCGTGAAGATTCCGGGGTAGAAAAGGTCTTCAGCAACCCATGCTTGCCGTAAAAGGTGACTATGCTTGTCGTAAAAGGCGACTAACCGGATCAGGTGATCAGTCTCACTGACTTTGTTGATACATGTCATCGGTCCCAATTGCTTGGATCGATGCTCATGATATCAATCGCTGGATTGTTTGGTCATGATTCGATTATTTACAGACTGCCGTCATATAGCTGGAATATTGCTGAGTGCGGCATCAAACAACAAACCAACAAACCAACGGTAGCCAAAATTAAAATTTTGTGTCTACTTGTCCAAACTAATATCATCATTTTCTTTTGATGTTAATGCTATTTTAGAAGTTTAGCAGCTGAGCTTACCACTCCAAACAGAAAGTTACTAGACTCAGGCTTCAGACAAGTGGCTAAAGTTGCAGACTGAATACACATTGCAACACATCTGGGTCATGAAAACTACGAACCATGTTCAAGTTGGAGTGACAACAGATAGAAGTATTGCAGTAAATAATACATGCTGATCTTCAATACTTCCACGGGTGGTGGGGGTAGACTAGTGGTTAAGTGTTCGCTCATCACGCTGAAGACCTGGGTTCGATGGGTACAATGTGTGAAGCCCATTTCTGGTGCCTTGATATTACTAAAACATTGCTAAAAGTGGCATAAAAACAATACTCACTCACTCAACACTTCCAGCTACAGTGTTCAGAATGAATGGGTCCTAACAAACCAAGGACCATAATCAGGGATCGAACCCATGATCATCAGATCCTGGTATGGCAAAGGGGAACAACTGTGCACAAAACTGCTGATGTAGAGGTCACACATATAATCACCTTCCTGATAACCACAGTAACACATTATGCATGGCCTCCATCAGCTATTAATCTAACTGAGCTATAAAGACTGCTAAGTGTCAAATCACTCAATGTTTCTTGATCATAAATTCATTCAAGACAAGCTCCTATTGCAGGAAATAACATGTTAGATTAATCTCATGATTACCTTGATTTGAATATCATTTCCTTCAATATGAAAGCAATAGGACTGAAATTGTTCAAATCAGTGTTAACCCTCACACTGAGGCTTTGAAAAATATGCTGGTGGGTGATAAACATTAATCTGGACCATATTTTTAATACAAACTTAATGCTGACAAAAAAGCATTAACTGCAAGATCGATGAGCATTGAACACATGGCAAAATATTCAGATATGTTTTTTAAGAAAAACATTCTTAAATGTCATATTTGTTTCATATTTCTGTTGACCTAACCATCTAGATGTTTCAGATAAAAATCCTTCAATAATGAATCCTGACCTAATGATTACTCTTATTCTTTTTTTAAAGATATTTTGTGCTTGTCCAGTGTTTTTTGTCGGAATGATCTGTTGGATATGTGAAATTGTTTTGTTTGTCAACCCTGTGTCTTCATCTCAAATTAATCTACAGGAGCATGTCGATGCAGGTCTTACCTGTTCCTGGAATCAGTAGAAGTCCTGCCTCACACACAATATAGGTAATTCCAAATCTGAAAACAAACAACAAGGTATCAATAACAAGCTAATGTAGTCAGGGGAAAGTAAGAGCTCCAAGTCCCAGCAAGTTGTGACAACCTGGAACAGTGTTGGAATCTGAGACTGCAAACTGAGATCTGCCCCGTGAACTGAAATGGCAGCATCCTTCCTTTAAAGACCTGGAAAATTCATCTTCAACAAAATGAGTAGCAACCCAAGTTTGATAAGAACATGAAGCAGCTCATAAGTATTAATGCCAGCGAGGTAACTTTTGTAATCCTAATAATACATCAGCTGCCTTATGCCCATGCCCCCAAACCCTGCGAAACTCATCTCCAAACTCCCAGCTCAAACACCAACCTTATACAGACTAAAGCTAATCTCCAATCTCCCAGCTCAAACACCCACCTTATACAGACCAAAGCTAATCTCCAAACTCCCAGCTCAAACACCCACCTTATACAGACTAAAGCTAATCTCCAATCTCCCAGCTCAAACACCCACCTTATACAGACCAAAGCTAATCTCCAAACTCCCAGCTCAAACACCCACCTTATACAGACCAAAGCTAATCTCCAAACTCCCAGCTCAAACACCCACCTTATACAGACCAAAGCCAATCTCCTAATTCCCAGCTCAAACACTCACCTTATAAAGGCCTAAACTACTCCAAACTCCCAGCTCAAACAAACACCTTATACAAACCAAAGCCAATCTCCAAACTCCCAGCTCAAACAAACACCTTATACAAACCAAAGCCAATCTCCAAACTCCCAGCTCAAACAAACACCTTATACAGACCAAAGCTAATCTCCAAACTCCCAGCTCAAACACCCACCTTATACAGACCAAAGCTAATCTCCAAACTCCCAGCTCAAACACCCACCTTATACAGACCAAAGCCAATCTCCAAATTCCCAGCTCAAACACTCACCTTATAAAGGCCTAAACTACTCCAAACTCCCAGCTCAAACAAACACCTTATACAAACCAAAGCCAATCTCCAAACTCCCAGCTCAAACACCCACTATATACAGACCCAAACATTCTCCAAATGATTCTATCCAAAGTCAACTGAAGCTTAAGAGTACATGGTTCAGAAGATGACATAACAATCCAAACATACAGAGTACTACATGACATCTACTTTACAAATTCTACTTCTTTCCTCACAAAACCTGTAAATTATTCATTCTGTCAGCTTTGATCAAACAGATCTATACACAATTCAAAATTCATTTTGTAAATTCCACTTTTGGCATCAAGGCTAAAATGATGAAAACCTATACATTTTCTAGCAAGAGAAACAAATACAAGTAGAATATTATTCCCATTGCCACGGTCAGACTCTGACGTCCAGGGATGAAGTGGACATAACCCTGAATACTAAGCAGTGGATTCATCCCACATCATTGTCCCACAAGTCCTTAAATATTCAAATCTTCTCAATCAATTGTTCGTGAAAAATGTGTAAGGTTCAATGGAAAAAGTGCTTTTTCAAAACAGGCTTATAAATATTCTATTGGACGAGCATAACAAGATTAGAATATTTCAGTGGACAAAGGAAATTGTTGGAAACCTTGGTGAAATAATAATCTTTTCAATATCTGTGGACATACCATGTCTGATGCTATATTTGTGTAAATAGAAACAAAACTAACCAACGTTCTCATCACCACAAAAACAACATCAGAATGAGAAAATTATACTTTCAGTAGATCAATATGGCACAAAATATCATTTGAATCCCACCAGTATAATTTAACAATCACCATTATCATGTACCAAACAATAAATGTCGAAGGAACCCTTTGCAGAAATTACATTCCACACTCTAAGATTCCAATGAATACTGAATTATCTGCCCTTACAATTCCAGAAGAACCTTTCCCCATCATAAAACATCAGGACAAAACGAGTCTGCTGCTCTGAACATTAGAGGTATTTCCTGCTTCACGTCATTTCGGACACATCTTACACTACATAAATACCTTTCTTACACAAAGTGACAGTATGATCAATACTGTATCTAAATTAGCCCCTACTTTATCATTAAATCACATTTGCAAGAATGTATGCTTTCATTTGACTGTGACTGTTGTGTGGAAGATCTCACCTCTTGGTGCGACGCTAATTGCATGAATGGTCCATCTGCCATGCTATACAAGACCCCAATCACCATCTGCAGCACCATCATTCTTTATAATCCACAAATGCAATTTTGTACAATTCACTCATTTATCAGAACCCTAACTGCAATTTCACCATTTCCCAATGATCACTAAAGGTCATATCAGATTGCTGTACTGGAATGGCGATTCCTCAATCCACCGGAAGAAATTAACCCTTGGCCCTAGAAGCAATCAATAACCATATTGTAACGGTATTCCAATTGAGAGCAGAAGGCAGGAACATTCCGTGAACATGGCCACAGTGACTTCACTAGCAGTTTGGTCCCATGTGAAGTCTCAGCGGCATGTTATCGGAGTTCCTGATTATGGACCCAAATCTGCGTATTCAAAGACGTATCCACCGGGATTTGGTACTTATTCACTCCAGTTCCTGTGAGGCAAGTCCTGAGGGGGGTAGATACTGGCTTCTATTAATGATACATATCCATGCATATTTACCACCTTTCTGATTGTTGTCGCTGGTCATTTAGCTGATTGAGCTGGGTCATGAGTTGGCATAAGGTTAACAATTGTGAATATACAGCAAGGCGGAAGGAAGTGTTGGTCTTGAGCTTAAAGCTACCAGGAACAAACTCCAGTGTTAATCTGGCTCTGAACGTATTATGTTGAAAACGTACTGCATCAGCCTGTGACATAACCTGACCCTTGACCTTACATTTGTTGAATGTGTACTTACCTACGTTTGTTCAATTTCTAGATCCCTACAATTTTTGTACAAATCACTCATTTATCAGAACCCTAACTGCATTTCCCAATGATAACTGAAGGTCATATCAGATTTCTGTACGGGAATGGCGATTCCTCAATCCACCGGAAGAGTGAGTGAGTGAGTGAGTGAGTGAGTGAGTGAGTGAGTGAGTGAGTGAGTGAGTGAGTGAGTGAGTGAGTGAGTGAGTGAGTTGGGTTTAACGCCACTTTTAACAGTATTCCAGTTATATCACAGTGTGTCAGCCCGGAGTGATGGAGGTCTCAGACGTTTACCACTTCAGTGAAACCCACGAGCACGGGTATGGTGCTGACAAACCTAAAAACCGGGATTCGAACCCACAATCACAGGTTTCTGGCGTGCCCGAGGGATGTAACTGCACAGCAAATCGCGGCGCCTTAGACGACTGGGCCACCCGTGCCACCCGGAAAACATTAACCCTTGGCCCGAGAAGGTTCTAGATCCCTACATTTGTTGAATGTGTACATACCTTGAATGTGTAATTGGACATTGCTCATAATATCAATCACTGGTTTGTCTGGCTAAGACTTGATTATTTAGGCCATCATTATGAAACTGTCTTGTTGGTTTCGGGCAACCCGACCCGATGGTCTGACATTTGGTAGGTAGGAACTTCTTTATTTTTTAACTGCTTGAACTTCAAATATTAACAACAAAACCATCATAAACCTAAATCAAAACGATTTGAGCTGGGGGGAATTTCATCGGGATGGCAGCTTGCCAATTTTATTCAGAGCTTACAGGCTGCCATGATTTAGCAGAAACATTCAGAGTGCAGCACCAAACAACCAAACAAAGCAAATCACAAGATAAGACATTTAATGTGGGTTGAATGCATGTTTCACATTGTATGTTCAGTGCAAAGCCGACATTAATCTTCACAGAACAATTCAAGCAAGCAAACCCTGCTGCTCCATGATCTGCATGCTGGATCTGAGACACAGCAAGGCCTGTATGACAATGGACATGGATCACAACCCACGCAATCATCACCCGATGGCTTGGCTGGTCTAGACATGATTCTTCTGTCATGCTGTAGTGATAAGCAGTGTTGGAATTACCCATGAAAGTCAAGGGGACCTTGTCTAACCCTGATGTTAATAGTGGACTATTTAGGGAATCCCTAGATACCAAAGGAGCAAACCTCAAGGACCCCATGAACCTTCTTAATATTGACGTCAGGGTATGCCTGCAATATTTCTGCAATGACAGCATAAAAATCCCCTCTCATTCCTAATTTCAAAATACTTCAATGTATTTTTGCTCTCTAAAAAACATATTTGACAATCATTTGGCGAATTCTCCACTTCTTAACCTTACTTTTATGCAGGTTTTGCCACACAAAATGTTGCATCCTAAATACTCAACTAAAGAATGGACACCAATAAAACAAGTCCACCTGGATGCAAAACACTGTGGATGTTGGAATGACTGACACTAAGTAGCTGAAGCATGTATGGCAGCTGTATCTAATAGTTCAGATAAAAAGTACAATCAATGTTATGACGGTCCATGTCAGACTTCCTTCTGTGAACCACTAAGTTTTACTTCATGAAGGAAATCCCAATCAATAGTAAGTATAAGCATGACACCGACTTTGTATCTTATTTGCTGATGGTGCAGTAGGATCACAGCTTCACTATCAGGGCCTCCTAATAATATGGAGTCCCCAGGGCTTGCAAATACGTAGATGAAGGGAAATCCCATGTCCACAATAATCAGGGTGCCAACCTCTTTTGGTACACCGGATGCCGAACCCTGTTGCGTGGTATTCTGGATGCTGCAGTGCAGTTCACTGGATGGTACGCAGATGCCAACATTTCAATGTTAAAACATAGTTTGTATTTCTTATCTTGCAAAGAGTGACAATCAATAAACTATGTAGGCCTAATTAAGCCAATGACCACGCATGGACAGGCATTCTCTGTGAAATTCCAGTCTAATTTCCTTGTACCAGCTGTGTACACTGAGGTGACTCAAGAGTTCTTAAAATGGATGCCAAGACAAATTAGTTGGCATGTGCCAGATGCCTTGTCACCCTCAACAAGCAAGGGTATGTCACTATGAGGGCCGTCAGCCTATACATGCATAGTTT